ATTAACTCCCAGGCATTTGCTCATACTTGATCTAAATCAACATGCAAGACAAAATATTGTAACAATTCGACCTTTGTAACAATCAAACCTTTGTTACACTATGATGTTGGTATAGAAAGGAATAATTTTGGTTTTATTTATACTTTTGTTTTAAAATGATTTTTCAATTTTAGTTATTAAAACAACGCACAATAACATAACAAAACGTAACGTAAAGTCTTTATAATCTGGTGGGGACCATTGTAAATGTAGAATGTGTACAGACATTTAGTCCAGGGCATTATGCAATTGCATGGTGTCTAAACATTGGTAATGTGTGGTATGTCTCATCTGACAGTGAATGAGGCATTCCCTCTAAGCCCATGTTAAATAAGTGAATTTCGATCATATATGTTAAAGTACTTGTTTATAAAATATTTGACATACTTGTCTATGACATATTTTATATATAAAATTGTACTTAATTTATTTCATGTACTTATCTTGAAGTATTTTGATATTCTTGTTATTGTAACTATTGTTATATATTTTACTTGCTGGGTTAAGATTTTTTATCAGCTCAGAATTAAAAAATGAAGATTTGGTTTCTGGTGAATTAGGATGGTACATGCATGACATTCTTAGCTTATTACATGTTTCTGCTGATACTATATCTTTTAACTGGGATCCACACACAATCCTAGTCAGCTAGTCACAAGTGTAACTTATTGCTGTTTTGTTGACATCATGACATCTCTAAAACATTAGATCTGCAGCCATTCTAGTGTTACTGTCAGTACTGGCAGTATGAGTCATTGTAATAAGCTCATAGTTAGACCCTGTTCCCAGTTGACTAATTTATCATATCCTTGTAAGCACTGATTGTTTTTAGGAATATATCTGTACAGAGTATAGAATTAATTTGGTTATCTTTGCACTACTTTGCACACATTAAAACCGGGTCAGCTGAGTATGAGGTTGTGCATAACTTTCTTACAGAGAATTCACATTTTCATTTCATAAATGTACTTATGTATAAATTGTTGCATGGTATGGTATGTTAAAGGTATGTGTGCTTCTTGATGCTACTTTGCCTCTTATAACAAACAAATAAACAACTAAACAAACAATCAAATAAACAAACAAACTAATTTTGCAGGCAAGTTCCTTTCTTATGATGTATAATGAGATTTAGATGATAGGCATAGGCCAGTATTATATAACCTTAGTGTCTGTATGCTTGATAGTCTGGGATCAAACCCCAAACTAGTACACCAAAGAATATAGTATTTGCTTTGGCTGATAGACTAACCCAGACAGAGCATATGAAGATTCCTGAAGATGTTTGTAGACAGATGTTTGTCTCATTCTGAATGACATATACTACTTGGTTCAAAAGTTAATCAACTTCTTAATGAAACTTTGACCCCTATGCAGGCTCAGGTTCCTAACTACTGCCACTTGTAGAAAAATGTTTTCTTTTCTGTTATCATCATTGACAGAGAACAGCTTTGGGGATGCTGCCCAAATATCAACATTCAAGGAACATAAAGTTGATTTTGTTTGGGGGTGGGGTGTACATAATGGGGTTGTTTTGTTAAATGTTGATTTTATTCTCTGACAGAGTGTATTTTATAAAAATCAGCATCTTTGAATTGTTATTTAAAGGAGAGATAAGTTTCTGAATCAACTGAAGTGAAATCAATTTTTCTTCAATTATAAAAAGTTGGGATAGCACCCCTTGGTATGCCTGTGTTTATGAAGTAGAAATTGCTTCTAGGTATATTTAGGTGCAGTTCTATATATTATCTGAAGACAGAAAGCTGTCAGGGTACATTTTTCTTGTTGATCTAAACTAATCCAAGACATGTTGTAACAAGTAGATATCAAATCAAGAGATGGGTTTTATTAAGAGTATTTTTGAATGCTTCTGTCTGGCTTTACATATTGTGTATTTCACCCTGATATGTTAAGTTCACAAATGGGATTTTGATTTGATTTTTATTTGAGATAATGCTTATTATTAAGCTTCCTTGTTGAGTCCTGTAACATTGATTTTTAAGGTGGTTGAGGTTTGAGTAACCGAAACCTTGTGAATCAAGATGCCCCCTACCTGTATTTAGAATCTTTACCTCAGGTTTTATTTTCAAAATGTCCCCCCTTTCCAACAAAGCCTACTAATGCATTCCCAGATCAACATGTAGTATCAGTTGGATTTTAGGCAACCCTTATTTTGGCCTCAATAAAATTTAGACCCTAGATACATGATTCCCTAATAAATGCAATATTACCCATTTAATTTATTCTTCCCGATTTATTTGTCTGAACTATGTTCTCCATGTTTTTAAAATATAAAAACTGCGTAGAAGATGCACACAGGAGTTAGGGTTATCTTGTAGGGAAGCAGTTATCTTGTAGGAAGACACAATCTTGTTGTTTGCACCAAGTCTTACTTGTTTATTCTGGGTTACATCTGCTTATTTACCTTACCTCAACAAATCATCATGCCCTCCCCGGTTGTTATAACCTGTTTGTACTCTGAATCACTATCAGATTCTAATCATTCCTCTTACTACTACAGGTGATTTGCAGATTTGATGCAACCTAGCTCTTAGATATGAAATTAAGTGTATGAGGCAGAAATGGTTCACATAATCTCAAGTTTAATTGTTAAGTAAACAGCGACTGAGGATCAGGAAATTGACATGGGTAGGGCTGAATTTTTTTAGAAATAACCGAGGGCTGCTTTTTGTTTGAGTAAGCTGTCATATATTTTCAAAAAAAATTGAAGCATGACTTTTAAGAGAGCCCATTTTCTCAAAAGTGAGGCCTATTTTAGAAAGTATGGCCCAAGAGGCATCATTTTGGCCTAAAAGGAAAATCTCCCAGTAGAAATAAGTTAGATAACATTTAAGATTAAAAAGAAAGAGTGGATATGATATTTATTCGCTCTTGGGAAGAGTACCTTGCACCATGTAACAGTGTGGATACATATAACCTTCTGTCTGATGAAAGCATAGACTTGCTCCAAGACTCAACAGCTGCTTCAAACACTGTAGAACAGAATGAGTGCAGAGTGGAGAATTTGAACATAATCATGTAATGATCAAATTTTCTTATATGTAAGATTTCTCTGTTATGTTTCTAGTATCTCTCTAAGGAATAATAAATACCTTATATGTAGCACTTTTGGTAGAATGGGGAATAAGGATTAATTAGAGGGGTTTTCTTTTATATCTTATTTATCTTCTTCATAAAGCACTATTCTTGATAATATTAATCCTGCATGTAGATGTTAAACAATGGGAACCATATGACCAGTCTTTTTACTCTAAAATGTCAAACATATGTGTCAAAATTACTAGGCACTGCCACTTAACCATAGATACTAGTATTCCGTAATTCCGCGGCGTGGACGGAATTTGACAAAACTTCAATTTTTTGCAGAATCCCTGATTTTCATGAAAATCCCGCGGAATTACCAGAATTTCCAGAAATTACATATTTTACGATCTCCTACCTTTGCGGGGTATTTGAAGAGTGTCTGTTTATGTCCAACAATCAATCATTATTGAGTACAAGTACGAATTCACCGTGAAATTTAACATTCTATCACGTTTAAATTCGCTAAAGCGAGTTCACTAATGACGCGCAGTTCTTACCTAGAAAGTAGCTGACTTCCGTTTCCGTTTTCGATCGATAGGTTTGTGTTTTAAAAGATTGCAGAATTTGGACTTTTTTGAAAATTTGTGCAGAATTTCGATTTTCTCCTTGCAGAATTTGCTTTTTTTCTTGCAGAATGATTTGCAGAATTTTGATTTTTTTTCATGCAGAAAACTAGTATCTGTGCTTAACAAATTCAATTGTAAGGGTTTTAACTATTGAATTTATTGTTGAATGAAAGATGTCACTTGGTCCTACTAAACCAAAATAACAGGTGATTTCATTTGGCATGAAACCACTTATTAATAACTTATTTTCATTTTTAGCATTGTTATTTAAACACTATATTTGTTTTGAGTAATCTTAAAACCGAAAAAAATCAGGAATGTTTATCTAATGGTAACAAATACTGGCAGGATTGTTTCAACCTCTTCTGAAAAATAAGGAACAGTAAATACATACCATTATGATAGATAGAGGCATGATCCAATTAAAAAAATATAATAAGGATATCCTGTTCCCCAGTTCCCATGATTATCCAGCCCTCCCATCACCATGGTTACTTAATTTTACAATTACCATGGTTACAAAGTTCAATGTCATTACATACCTCTCCTCTTCTAACAGTCTCTCTGTTAGCTACCTTAATTACACTCTCTACCAGGAGCACATATGTTTTAAGTCCTCCAGATCTGGTGAAGATAATTGGGTTGAATTGTTTGCTGAAAGTGAAATCAAACATGAATGAATGCTTGCAGGAATATCTTGCTGGGCTTTCTTGATCACAGTTGGGTAACCTAGTTTATCATATAGATACCAGTTTACAAAAACAAAGTTCATACTGTGCAAAAATATATCTCCAAGCCTCTACCATTTTCATTTTTGAAAATATGCCAAGTTAATGATTTTAGGAGTTCTTATGATTTTGAATATTGATATCATTCGCTTCCTCTTTCGTACTTGGTAATTTCTCATAATAGGTTGCTCAGATTTCTCTTTATTTATACAAGTCTGCTATGTTCGATGAAGCAATCTTCAATAGCATCTGTTTTTATATGTTATATTCTTCTATATGATTATTATCTGTTTCATCTGTGTCTTTAACACAGGTTGGTAATGGTATATATATATATAATATGTTGAAGCTTAACCCACATCCTACTGTATGTGATTTGACCTGTAACAAAACATAATACATACATTAGGTGTATGTCGTTTATTGATGCTATTGTCCAAAATGATACTGGTCACAAATACAAGCTTTCATTTTACTTTGTATAACACATATGCTCGATACACAAGACTGATAATGTTATTTCACTTAATCAGTGTTCATGTTTTATATTCTGTATTTTCAGATGCTCTTGTTCAGGGGCGCCCACTTCCCATCGCACCAATTACACCATTTGATGCCAATCTTGCATCACGATGGATGTCTCGTGAAAACCTCCTTGCAACAATTGGCCAATCAGAAGAATCAAATCCAGACCCAGAATTATTTGTGGCACTCTATGACTTTGCTGCTGGTGGGGACAATCAACTTACACTTGTCAAAGGTAAGCTTAGTAACACTGGATGGGGACAATCAACTTACACTTGTCAAAGGTAAGCTTAGTAACACTGAATGGGGACAATCAACTTACACTTGTCAAAGGTAAGCTTAGTAACACTGGATGGGGACAATCAACTTACACTTGTCAAAGGTAAGCTTAGTAACACTGAATGGGGACAATCAACTTACACTTGTCAAAGGTAAGCTTAGTAACACTGGATGGGGACAATCAACTTACACTTAGGTAAGCTTAGTAACACTGGATGGGAACAATCAACTTACACTTGTCAAAGGTAAGCTTAGTAACACTAGGGGACAATCAACTTACACTTGTCAAAGGTAAGCTTAGTAACACTGAATGGGGACAGTCAACTTACACTTGTCAAAGGTAAGCTTAGTAACACTGAATGGGGACAATCAACTTACACTTGTCAAAGGTAAGCTTAGTAACACTGGATGGGGACAATCAACTTACACTTGTCAAAGGTAAGCTAAGTAACACTGAATGGGGACAATCAACTTACACTTGTCAAAGGTAAGCTTAGTAACACTGGATGGGGACAATCAACTTACACTTAGGTAAGCTTAGTAACACTGGATGGGAACAATCAACTTACACTTGTCAAAGGTAAGCTTAGTAACACTAGGGGACAATCAACTTACACTTGTCAAAGGTAAGCTTAGTAACACTGAATGGGGACAGTCAACTTACACTTGTCAAAGGTAAGCTTAGTAACACTGGATGGGGACAATCAACTTACACTTGTCAAAGGTAAGCTTAGTAACACTGGATGGGGACAATCAACTTACACTTGTCAAAGGTAAGCTTAGTAACACTGGATGGGGACAATCAACTTACACTTGTCAAAGGTAAGCTTAGTAACACTGAATGGGGACAGTCAACTTACACTTGTCAAAGGTAAGCTTAGTAACACTGGATGGGGACAATCAACTTACACTTGTCAAAGGTAAGCTTAGTAACACTGGATGGGGACAATCAACTTACACTTGTCAAAGGTAAGCTTAGTAACACTGGATGGGGACAATCAACTTACACTTGTCAAAGGTAAGCTTAGTAACACTGGATGGGGACAATCAACTTACATGTACACTTGTTAAAGTTATACCTTGTAATGTCTTAGTCACATTTACTCCAATTTTCAAACCGCTGCCCAGTCGATCAAATATTTTGTTCAAAATTGTATTCATCTTTGAAAAAAAGGCACCTAGGCACCGTATTGAAAATCGGAGCAAATGTGACTCAGGCAAACATGGGGTATGGGGGTCGGGGAAACTTAATCTAGATTGGCAACATTCTAATAAATAAATAAAAAATAGATAAAATGAATTTATTACTTAACAGTAGTGACAACCGTTCATAGAACAATATATAGATTTGCCAATCCCCTGTGTCCCTCCCCATCCTTCTCAAATATCTCCCACAAGGAGTATGATAGAAAAAAGGTAGATCCAGGGGGTTCAGAGGCTTAATGAATAAATGCATGAACTCATACAGTTGCAGTACGTTCTGCCTGATATGAACTCAGGTGACCATAAACATTATACACCTGATGCAAAGTAATAGAGAAAGGCAATAATACATACAGGTGTGACCAAACAATGGTATACTTGGTTAATACTTGCATTCTAGTGATTGCTGATGTTTTTCCATACATTTTATGGTCCCTGAGAGAAGAAGGTGGTTATTAAAAAGAATCCATTAACGTTGTATATATTTTAAGGCCAGTGCCATAGTGTTGGAGTAATATTGATAGTTAAGTTTAGAACATCGTAGTATGCTACATTTGTACTTCTTTTTCTTCAAAAATGGAAATTACGATTCATAAATTCTCTTGAAAGTGATTGTAATTATAATTTCGAGAATCAATTTGAGATCTCTTATCTTACAGGACCAATTGTGTTTCTAGTAATGCATTGGTCGACCACTAATGGAAAAATCACTTTAAGGAACTATCGATTACCTCCAGTCATTAGCTTAATTTAATCTTTGTCAATTTTGGTTGTTTCCATCATATTATAATTCTTTTATTTCCTATTCTCAGCATATCAATATATGAAGCGAAGAAATTGCTTGATCCTTATACATAACATGAAGTGTATACCTTTGCTTGAATTTGATTCTTTACAAATCATGATGAACTATCTTATTTCATTACTTATCAAGTTTTATTTCATGTTAAAAACCTCAAAATGTTAACATCTGTTAAAACAACCTTTTTGGTCAGTCCCATTGGCATTCGTGTTTGACTGTTTATCATCCCAGTCATAACAAGTCCCACCAGTGTCAATTTCTAACAAGTCATGGACATATTTCATCATTACTCTCTGTATATGTATAGCTATATGTGTTATATGCCAGATATCTAGACAATGTACATATCATATAAACATCATCATTCTCAACACCAGCTTGGGGATAAGTCACCTGCTGACGTAGAATTCATATCAATCATAAAAATAATGTAAATAAATGCTACAATTTTAGAGTCAACGTAAGCAACTGATATAATTTCCCATGGTTTATTTGCCCTAGACAAGTATGTGTTTTTATTATGTCACCACCAAAAACATTGGATGGTTGGTGTTTGGCATTGTGCGGTTGGTGTCTGTACCAAATGGCAGGTGGTGACATTTTTCATGTTAATGCCTTGTTTTCTTTTATACTAATCTTAGTCAGACATTAAGAAGTAAAAAATTAGATAATCGAATCTGATCTATAAGATTTCTTACAATCTGAGGAATATCCATCAAGTGGGGGTCAGATAGTGTCATGAAAACTAAATCAGATTGTTGAGTCATTTCTACAATTTATGAAATTACACATTTATCTTGAACTATATGAAATTAAGGAATCAAAAACCGCAATATGTGGCTCTATATATTATTAAACAATACAATCACTCTTAAATATGTCAATAAAAGTATGATCAACTTTTGACTGGCATAGTTTGCAAGGACATGTAATAATTGGATCGGAATGTCATCGGATCTGTAATTGATCTATCATAATTATATGTCGTCAAATGATTAATTAATTTTATAATATTTGGGTTTAAACATCAGTTGTTAGACTTAGATATATACTGTACTGAGCTGGTAGAGGGGGCACAGTGTTCATGTGGGAGTGTTCAAACACTGCAATTACATACATTTTATAAGTCTATTGTGGTTAAACTTGTGGTTATTAGCAAATCAAACAAGTGATATCATGAAATCATTTGGACTATTCAACTAACTGAGCACAATCAAAACCTGGAATAGTGACATATATAAAACACCTGAAGTTGGAATTTTATTTGGATTACATCGGATTATGATACATACACATGTATAAAATGCCAATTCGTGCTTATGAGAAAGTGTTCAGGAAGGCTAGAGGTTTGTACAACATTTTTCTTGTTTATTTAATCAATACATCCACCCTGCTATCTTAATTTATTCAAAGTCATAACGTGTGTTTTTTTTCAGAAAACAAATTTGATTTATGATTTTCTTTTTATCAATGGCCCATAGAAATCAAAAAAATGGTCCTTTCGAAAGAAAAAGCAGAATCAGATCTCATCAGCAACCTTTCCAAAAATCATGAGAATTGATAATTTCTAAAATCACAATTGATTGCTTCAATGTAGGGGAGGTCATAGTGGCAATATTGTCAGGTATTTTAGTATGTGCACATCATGATAACAGTCTGTTACATGTTTGTATGTATCAACGTATTTTGTTATATTTGGGAATATTGTAATTTATTTATGTACATAGTTTTTGATTGAGGCAGAGAGGCTATATGTAATATTTCTGTCCCTTTGATGGTTTTGACATAGGGTGTTCACTTCACTTTAGACTTTCTCATCTTTTTTGTTTTACTGCTCTCAGTAAAGGAAGATGAAGCTCTCTTTTAGGGAGGCAACAAACTACTGGAAATTGTGCTTACAGATTTCCCTGACTCTACAATCTAAAAAGTATCAACTTAGAGATTTCCTTGAATTAAATAAATTTTGTATGATTTATATCAGTACCTTCAAAATCATCCCCAGAATCTACAACTTGATAGGTTTATCATGTATGCTCTATAGAATGAGCTTTGCATTAGTTCTTTGTCTAGTCCTCCAAACAAAAACACATCTACATCATGAAACTAAAATGGGTGCAAATATTTCATGCATGACCAAAATAGAATCAAAGATAAAAATCATAAAAATAAGGATTTCTGTTTCTAATTGTATGATTTTTTATCTAAAGTACTGTCTAGATTCTAAGTAAATTTCAAGTTCAGTAGATTACGGAGTTGATATATTTATTATATTCATTATGATTAGGAAAGGTCAATTGCCTCCAATAACACCATGAGGAATTTTAACATCATACAAGTGAATTGCAGCTAAAGTAATTCAAGATTAATCCCTAATGATATTCAGCAGCAAGTCTAAATGTTAAAATTATGATTTTTATCAACTTCTTAAACTTTTATTTATCTATTTTATTTCCCTTTTCCTTTAGATTTTTCATAATTTATTAATTCTCAAGGATTTAAGGGTGGATTTCTTATTATTTTCATGATACATTCTTCATTTTAATTATAGTCTTTGACACTTACTACTAAAAAAGAGCTCTTCATAAATATATTTAAATCTACCTGTTTACTGTTGTTTTGGGTCACGTCACATCCTAAAGCTAAAGGCAAACCTATCGCCCACTTCATACATTTAAAACCTTTGCTAATATTTCTGTTTTATGTGTATACTAAAATGTAATATTTCCTACGTCTATAAGTATTAGCGCCGCCAAGTACATAGCTCAGAGAAACATATATATTTTAAAGTAGGGCAATGAGATTTATAAATGACTTTCATGCCCACCTCTAGATGCAGGTATTATGGGGGTAAGATTTTGACTTTTTAAGATTTTAGCATTCGACAAATATGTTCACTTATTGTATCATGTTGATAATGTGTTATCATTAGGTTTTACAAAAGATTGAAACTGTTTTTAAACTATTAAAGAGTTTTTGCAATGTAAAGCTAGGATGGGTATAATATCAATTATATGATCTACCTGTAATCTCACAGAAACTCATAAAATTTTGTAAAACCCCCCAAAATACTCATAATTAAAAGACTGTATATGTTGGTATTATGTGAGAATGATATATGCTATGTTAGAAGTGGTCTCCCCCCGCCCCCCTACTTGTCACTTTCCAGATCTTGCCATAAAAAAACAAGATTATGTAAAAAAAAACAGGTAAATGGTATACATAAATAATTATATATAAACTGGTGTATTTTTTACTTCCAGGGGACCAGGTTCACATTCTGGGCTACAATAAAACCAGTGAATGGGTCGAGTGTAAAAACAAGACTGGCAAGCTAGGATGGGTCCCCAGTAATTATATAGCCCCTGTAAATAGTCTCGATAAGTTCTCATGGTATCATGGACAAGTGTCACGCAATGCTGCGGAATATTTACTAAGCAGCGGGATAAATGGCAGCTTTTTGGTACGCGAAAGTGAAAGTAGTCCCGGCCAGAGGTCTATATCGCTACGCTATGAGGGAAGGGTGTATCATTATCGGATCAGCGAGGACAGTGACGGAAAGGTATGTAAGAAACGAGGCTGTTGCAGAATGAAATAGCACATCAGTGCCATCCTCCGATCACAGGGCTTCAAAATCCAGAATATATTCTTTCTTTTCATGCCCTGCGATAAGCAGTTAGCATTTCCCCGATTAAGAACTCACAATCTGATTGGCTGTCGCAACACTGCGACAGAAATCATGTATAAGTCATTGCGCATAATTAGATCACATGATTCAGTTTAATCAGGCGCTTCCAAATTGGTTATAGCAGGGGGAAGAAAGAGGTACGGATTCTGGATACCTGCTTAGGAGGATGATCAGTGCATGCATATGTGAATACCTCAAAGTGAAAAAGTAAAAAATCATTTTAGTACTGTATAGTAACAAGTATATTCCTATAAATATCCCGAACTTGGGTTTGGGTGGCCTAGAAATACCCTGGATATGTTTTATGCACAATTTGTTAACTCATGATCTTGAGTTGAATGACTCTTGGAAAATGTTCAAAAGGACGGAGCAGGGACCATGCCTAGGAAAGGAGATAAAGAAGACAAGGCCAATGTTGAGCTTGAACTGAGGGTTTTCTCTTTTTGGAGACAATGGGATATTATAGATGGCTACTTACTGCTGCAATTTTGCAACCACTTTATACAAGTTAAAATTTTGGTATTCAGAGTTATCAGATTTGTACTTGCAAATCATAAATCTAGTTTAAGCTGAGTATTTCATCTTAAAGTAGACTGATTATTCCCAAACTGGCATTTTGTTACCATGGTAACCAAAAAACAACAACATTGAACCAAACTTCTCAGACCCCATAAAATAGAAATTCAGCACCGTAGGATGAATTGAATTGTGAAGATGTGAACAGAATTTTCATCATGTAGTAGGCTTGAAATCCTTTAAATATGCAGACTTGACTTAACCTATATATGTTCCATATATGTTCTTATGTAGATCATTGCTATGAATTCCTAATATACAGACAGCACAATATTGTACGTGTATACAGAAGTTTAGGCCATATAAAACACATGTACAATAAGCATTCATACACATACATGAGCATCATGAGTTCAACTTTCCTATAAAAGGAAGTGGCAATGGGCACACTTCACAAAATAGCCATAAATTACATAAAAGTTTCATGATTGTAACTCTAAATTATTTTCTAACCACTCCCCTCTTAAATGTCAAATTAACCTCCTTATATTGGAATCTTCTTGACAGTTTAATTGATAATTAAATGACACCTGTTGAGGTATGTAGTCATGATAGATTACATAATTAAAACAACAGCCTGTTCCAAAATACTGTTCTATTTTCAAGGTCTTCAAAATCTATAATCATAAGGTTAAAAGATAACTAAAGTGATTAGGATTTATCTATTGTAACCCCTCTCCTTCAGGAAATAAAGTGATACATATTAATAACATCAGTTATGCACTGGAAGAAAAAACAAACATTTGACCTTATAGCTCCCAGGGCATTTCATCAGATATTCTAAGAATGTTTATCTGAACAAAGATATTCAATAAAAGTGTTCTGATATTTAACAGATTCATAGAATTTGATGTCAATATATGATTCAAACAGGTTTGCTTAAGGTTATTCTAATCTAGTTTTTACGCAACTTCACCCCCATGTGGTGCCTTAGTTTTCACATCTGCCGATTAACAGGTTATTTTTTCCCAGAATTTATTGAGATTCAGATCAAAATATTTTGAAGATGGAACATATCAGTTGATAACACTATCTCATTTCAAAAAGTATTTTTTCTTCTCTGATAGTTTTTCACAGGTTTACACTGTAAGATCAGATTGAGGCGCCATCTATCTTTCTATCAAATCAATGCCGACTAAAATCACGCAATGACATATTTGAACCAGTTGCATAACCTGAGTAAACTCCTGGAATTTATTGTTGAAAATATTTTTTTGATGATCTAAATAAGGTAATGGGTGTTTTAAAACATTTAGCAAAATGACCAATTATACAGTATAGTATTTATAGGAGAGTAAAACAGCTGTTGCTAGAGTAATCCAAACTATATAGTCACTCTGCGGAATGTAGCAAACAGGTGGATTGTAATTATACTCAGAAATTCAAAAATAATTTTTGGGGTTGTGATGTTTAGTTTTAATTTTTTGATATATTTAATTGACAAATATACTTTATCGGCAGCATTCTGTATAGTCAATGATAGAATTAAATGTCTCTAATATATCATTTCTTCTGGGGTCTGTTCCTGAAACATTGGTTGATACCATGTTGTTACCATGGGAATGATGAATTCATGAATAAGAATACAAATGGAAATACACTCTGATATTTTCTGATTTTTCCAGGTGTATGTCACTACTGAACACAGGTTTTACACACTAGCTGAATTAGTACACCACCATTCAATGCACTCAGATGGCCTCATCACAACCCTTATTTATCCTGCCCCAAAAAGAAATAAGCCAGTTGTGTTTGGTGTCAGTCAGGAAGATAAATGGGAAATAGAAAGAACAGAAATAGCCATGAAGCACAGGCTAGGTATAGAAACTTGATACTACTTATTTGGTAATGTTTTATTAATGAAAGTATGAGAATTTGAGATGCCTACCCAGAAATATGCTCACTGCATGAACCATTGTACCCAAATGCAAAACAGAGACATACATCATAGCAAAGTATTCAAAAAGTGCTAAAATGTAAAAGTTGCTTAAAGTCCCCGGCTAAAGTTTGAAAATATTTTTTTATCATTCATTTACTATTTGTCAAGACTTAAAAAGTGATTTTAGAGATTTTTGAACAAAAAAGATTTTTTGAGAAAAAAGTTGTGAGCATTTCATTTCTCAAATATTCAAATTTCCCGCCATTTCTCAAAAAAAGTTGAAATTTCTTAATCATCAAATATTTCTTAATGCATTTCAAAAAATGTTATCTTTTTAACACCAATGCAAGGGTTGAACAAAGGACACACTATTTCAATAATAAAATGCCATATTTAATGGGCCACTTCAATGTTTTAGCATATCAAAAATATTTTGAAACATTAGTGATGTCACTAAGGTACCAAAAACTTTTTGAAAAAAATTGAAATTTTTTTTTCAATGTCAATCTTTTCTAAATATGTTAGACTTTCATAAAAAACCAATGATGATTGTCTAACCAGGTTAAAAGGAAGAATAAATTATGTTTTAGATATCATTGTACCATTGGTTTCTATGAGAACTAAAATTTTGAAATGAATTTTTCTCAGAACCATTTTCATGCACTGATAAGTTCATTTCTCGCTTATTTATGAACCGATTTTCTTAATTTTTTCGGCAAAAAACATGGGAGGATGAATGCTATGCATTGGTATGAATTATGGCTAATAAGAAGATATGAGTGACCTCTAAAAGTTGGTTTTAAATAAATTCACAAATTTTGGAACAAAAAGTCTATCAAAAACCACTTTTTGAAATTAAAAAAAAAAGTTTCACATATCACACTTTGATAACATTGGGTAAGACTACAATATAAGCCAAAGTGGTTTAAACTTTATATGGGGCCTTTAAAAGTCACAAACTTGAATGAAAAAATGCACCATTCGGTCTTATGTAAATATTATCCATGCTATCACACTTGACTTTGACCAAGTTTGTTATTATTTATTTAAAGGAGGGGGTCAATATGGGGATGTCTATGAAGGAGTCTGGAAGAGATACAATAGAACAGTTGCAGTAAAAACATTAAAGGTATGTACTTGAACTACTGTGAGTGGGAACTTTATGACATACTTGTACTATCTCTGAAACTTATTAGGGAGTTTAAGCTTGCATATAAAATCGAAACGCCAACCTATAAGTATGACCAATCGCCCATACAAATGTATCGCTTAAATATTTTCCATTCATGATTAGGTTGTGAAAAACATTGCAATCTTAAACTCCCTATTATTGGCAGTAAGAAACCTTTTAATTGGAAAAAAGTAACTTCAGGCTGGATGATGTTAATTAGATTGCCGCCATTTTATATTTCAGGAAGACACTATGGCTTTACAAGATTTTATGGAGGAAGCTGGGTGTATGAAGGAAATGAAGCATCCCAATCTAGTGCAATTATTAGGTAACAGTCTTATCATGACTGAGAAATATAACAGTACTTCAGATATAAATGTGAAATAAGTAAATTCTGTGCAAATTCTATTCATACTACCTAACCATGTACATTGTACAAGTGAATGATTTCAAATTGAAAAGTTTCAAAATTCTTAGTCTGCTTTTCAGGTATTTACCTATAGATATTTGAGCATCTTTTTACTTTGCTTTAATCACTAGACAGTTTTTTATAAACTAAGCTTAAAATGTGAAAGTTCTGTAAAAATGAGTTATTTTGGCATTTTATGATAATTAATATTGACCACATTCACATATTACATATGCTATGAATGCAGTGCAATAATCTGATTTTACCATCTAGGTGTGTGTACACGAGAACCACCATTCTACATAGTCACAGAGTTTATGAGTCACGGCAACTTGCTAGACTATCTAAGAAATTCCAACCAGTCAGACCTAGGCCCAACAGTATTAATGTATATAGCATCACAGATAGCATCAGGCATGGCTTATTTAGAAACACAGAATTTCATACATCGGTGAGTTTACTGGACATCCTTATTGTATTGTGTTAGGGGTACCATAATACTTGCTACGGGCAAGCATCAACATGTCATTTGTTCTGAAACTAGTTATTGATATCTAAGAGGATCAGGAAGCCAGATTTCATTAAAAATTAACATTGTGAGATCAATAAGACCAATAATTTATATTATTCATGGACCACTATATACTATTTTTAGATATAACTTTGATATGTGATAAGGTTTTAGGAACAGTGGTAGAGGGGTTTTCGTTTTGCCCCCCCCCCTCTGCAGCCATTAAACTTATCACAGTATGCATTCAATTGTGGCTCAACACAGACACACAGTCATATGGGGAAGCGAGGGTACTAGTAATTTATATTCTGACTAGATCCCTTTTATACTTTCACACAAATATGCAAATTTTCACCATTTGAGGGGTACAATACATATGTATATTATCCATGCAAGGGGTACATTACAGAAATCTATACTTACAGAGACTTGGCAGCTAGGAATTGTTTGGTAGCAGAGAATCAGGTGGTGAAGATAGCAGACTTTGGTCTAGCGAGGCTCATAAAGGAAGATACTTACACAGCTCATGCTGGGGCAAAGTTCCCCATCAAATGGACCGCCCCTGAGGGTCTGGCATATAATACATTCTCTTGTAAATCTGATGTTTGGGGTAAGTTCGTTTTCATTGCTAAAAGATGTCAAACAATACAATTATTTTAATATTTTAAAACCTTGTCTGATACAGTCATTTAACTTTTTCATGTTTCGAAGTTAACCAAAATAGAGTGTAAATAAGGTAAATGAAAAATGACAAGAAGAAAAATGTGTCATGAACACTCACCGAAATTATTTTTTAACACTACCTTTGTTTTACTGCACAACTAGGTAAAAGGTCACTCCTTTTTAATGAAAAACATTTGCATTTTGAAGAATTATTTCTGCTGTATTGCAGCATTTGGTGTGTTACTTTGGGAGATTGCCACATATGGAATGTCTCCCTATCCAGGGGTAGATCTGACTGAAGTATACCACCTACTAGAGAAGGGCTACAGGATGGAGTGTCCTGCAGGGTGCCCCCCAAATATATACTCACTTATGAGGAAATGTAAGTTAATCCATTTGTTTAAGTACAGTAAAACCAGTTTAAGTGTAACTCCATTGGTACCTCTAAAAAGTGGTCCATTCGGGATATATTAGACTCACAGAGGTTCATTAAACATTATGTCAGTCAGTCATGGGACTTTGAAAAGTGTCCCGCATCATCCACTTATCTGCCCATGTATCCTGTTTCTTTCCATAACAATTTTCAGACAAATGATAACAGCCATTCATCTAAACCAATGCTCACATCCTTTTTATTGGGGTCAATGCTGGTGATTTGAGCCCATGGTGGACAAACATTAAAACGACAAACACATCAATATTTAGAACTGTAAACTCTTTCTAAACTCACTCTAGGTGCTGTTCACATCGAGAGGTTATACTGTCAAAAGGGTCAATAAGATATTAGAAAATTGGAGAGTATTTCAAATACAATAAGTTAATGATAAGGTTCTTCTATATGGTTGTTAGGTTGGCAGTGGAAAGCTGATGACAGACCCACCTTTAAAGAAATCAATATAGGTCTAGAGAACATGTTTAGCAACACAACTATAGGGGAAGGTAAGTTGAAATAAAACTTTAAAAAATGATTTGAAAACTGTCAGTCGATTAATAATTTTAAGAATTCTCATCTAGATCTTTGTGGTGTGGCAATTAGCTTTGTCATCTGCCATACTGCAGTGACAGTTTTCACACCTCTCAAAAATTTGAACATTGATTGACTTACCTTGAATAGGAAACTAAAGTTAAGTCTGCTTGATTGAAAGGTCATCCTCTTCTAGCATTTTTCGTTAGGATAATTTTAAATTCTATAAATTATCCCAGCTCAAAGTGTATTTTCCAAAAAATAATAAACATAAATTGTTAAGACAAAAGACATATTGCTCTATTGCAGAGGTAGAACATGAATTGATGAGACACACAAGTGGTCCTCCAATGAAGACCCCTCCTAATAGGAAGAAACAAACAGGACGTAGAACACCAGATAGAGGTTTTTGACTCATTTGCATATTTGAAATAATTCAGTTCATTGATTCTCATTTTGTGATATCAACAGTTCAAACCTTGAATCTATAAAATTATTTAGTGACTACAAATGATTGGACAAGGCAAAACTCATATATTTTATTTATTTAAAAAATTGTAGAATGAGCTGTTTTTTAACTCACACTTTGTTAAGTTTCACATATCATCCAAATCAATGCTTTATTAGTACTTCATTTGTGCGTCCAATACTTTTTTTGATCTCATATGTGCAAATTTTTAGATATAACTTATTTCACTTTCAGTACCTACCCCTCCTCAGCCTAGGAAGTCATCTCTGCCAGTGTCATCGCAGTCAGACAGTGACGGAGACAAGAGTGGAAAACGCAAGTCAGCTCCCAAACCACCGGCAAGGACCAGCTCATTCAAAAATGAGAATCTTACACCTTCATCAACTCGCCGAGAGATAGTCCCGGTTCCCGAGGCAGCTACTGAAAGGGATTCAGGACTATATTCTCTAGAACGCTTGAGTCCTAGTAAAGATACAGGTGTCGCAAAAATGATGGAGAGTGTTGATAAGGAATTTCAATTTTTGAGTGATGTTAATAATAGCAGTAGTGAAGAAAGACTTAGTGAGCATAGTAGGTCAAGGTCAACCAGTCGGGAGAGGTCAAATGGCAATAAAATGACAAATCTGCCAGCTCAGAGATCTGCAGTAAGCCCTGTGCAATTTCATCTCAATGAAGAGGACTTAAACAGTAATAAGAACGCAGTTGCAACTGTAAATTCAGACAATCCATATCCAATTAAACCGGGCCAGCATCCCAAAGTCCCGATTCCTCTTCCAAATAGGGCCTCAAGTAAAAAGACTAAGTCATATCCGACACAGCGAAAATCCCGGGAAATGGAGGATCCAATCAAAGAGGAAGATAGCGAGCCAACAATACATAAACTAGATATTGGCTCTGTGAAACAAGCAATCAGCACATATGGAACAATCCCTAAAGGAGCTCGTATTGGACAGTATCTTGCTTCACTAGAAGAAAACAATCAAAACTATATTAATAAGTCAAAGACAGACTCTGCTCAAAAGGCTGACAAAGGTAATGGTGATTCAGAAGACAATAAATTCAAATCTAAATCTGAAGACCCCTTGCCACCACCACCAACATGGCTAAAGACCCCTTCAGATGACGATGAACTATCAGACTCTAAAGAGGGTAATGTCAAACCATCAGCTATATTACGTTCATCCTCAACAAGTATGGTATCCCAGAAGTCAAGTTATGCTGAACAAAGACAACTGAAAGACCGAGGAGATTCCAGCGAACAATCTACAAACTATTATGGTGGTAGCTTAGACAGTAAAACCACCAGACCAAAACCATCACCAAGGTTTCCAAGGACAAACCCAAAGGCTTTTGACAATAAAAATGGTCATGTGCAAACAGGGTACCAAGACAGTGCAGTAATCAATTATTCTGTTCGTAATACAGAGGAATCACAAATGGAAAATAAGAGCTTGGAATCTATTATTAGTGATGCTTCAGATAGAAGCAGTCCACCAGTTGTAAAACGTAACCCTGTCTCTAATATAAAACCCAATAAAGTAATGGATAGTGGGACATCTAGTATGGAGAGTAGCACAGACTCTATAATTGACATCTCCCCCAAACCCAAACCCCGCACTGCAGCTGAACGTAGGTGTGTCACCTCTAGGCAGGACCAGGGAGGTAGTGGTTTAAGGTCTCCTCCCCCAGACAGTGGCTTGGATACTCCTAAAAGCCCACCAACAGCAGGTGGGATAAAGTTCCGACCCACCTCCCTACCCCCTGCTCCCCCAGACCCCACTATAGAGGTGCCACAGTATAAAGCATTAAATAGAGGAGCCTCTCTTGAGGGCACAGAGTCTAGTACCACCTCCAAACAAGCTCCACCACCTGTGGCTACAAAACCACCACCAATAGGTGGCAAACCCACTTTTCCTGCAGGTACCAAGCCCTTCCTAGCAGGCTTAAAACCAGTTCTTCCCAGTAGCACAGGGAGTCCTGCTTTGAGGCATGTTAATAATCCCAAAGTAACAAAATCTGAATCTGTAGACAAAGAACATAAAACAAACAATGTTTCTAATGAGCCAATTACAAAGGAGGCCATTTTGAATCTAGTTAGCACTGTAGAGACATCTATTGATCAATTTTTAAACAAATCCATCACAAACTTTGACGTTTCCAGTAAAATGCTCGAACTTTGTAACGCATGTAGAGAATACGCTGAATGCTTACCGCCTCATGGGAGGTTCCAGTTCAGAGAATTGATGACAAAATTGTCAAATAATGGCGATAAACTGACAAACTCTAGTGATCAAGAGGCTGAAAGGCTCGCCTCAAGCTCAAGCAAACTGGTACAAAATCTAAGTCAGATTGTAAAACGTTAGAGTGAATGTTTGTATGAATTAAAAATTAAGTTTACATGAATAATTTATATGTATGTATGAATGCGTGTTTTGTACTAATATGTCATTTTAATGATGTGGTCAACTATTTTTGTTATATTATATACAGTCTGTTGGAGATATTGTAATTAATTTTTGTTATTTTCATTATTTTTTGTTGTAATCATGCCTCAAACAAGAAAATCATATTATGCTAAAGCCAATCCAAAGTAGGAATGATATCTTCAAACTTCCAAGAGAAATTCTAGATCACCCCTTGTATAATAGAGCTTGATACTTGGCTCTGTATATGTGTACAGTCAAATGTTGTTTTGTGAAACATCGTAAAATTCTCACCTCTCACATCTTGGCACAGTTTTGCAGATTTAGTGTAAATGTCAGGTATAATGCATAATAAATGAAATTGTCATACTTCTTCAACCTTACAGCATTATGATGAATATTCAGAGAAACCTCTTTAGTGTGAACACAACTCTTGAGTTTAAAAGAACTAGACATGGTATGGCAAATGATTCATGATATGATATGATGTCTTTATTTCATTTTGAGTTGATGTATGTCTAACAGCTGAAACTTAAGATTTCAGGGTTGAATTGATATAACTTTTTAATATCATAGGGATCTTACTTGGAGGAAAGACATTATTTAGATGAGAAATGTCATATTTATGAAAAGAAAATGGTTTCATATTTGACTGTCTAAAATCATTTTTCATACCATACCTGGTCCTTTCATATTTGAGTGTTACATACACATGCACTATGTTGTTAACATGTTAGGTTTTACTCTATATGTTTTGAACATGATGTGGAAAAGGGGCTGTGTCTTGCTTAATTCACATCCTTTATGAAGCATTAACCAAATCAGGTCAACGTGACCTGATACCATTATCTAGTTTCTATCTTAAAGGGTATCGCTTTGATATTGGGGTACCATTTTTAAATCGAAATAGGGGAACATGTTTCATTTCATGCTCAAATATCTCAGTAATGAAACCCTTAATAATGATTGTTACATTTTTATTAAATATACTATTTCGGATTTTCTTTTACAACTTCAGTCTACTTTTCAATGCAATATGCAATATTAAATGCAAGATGTCTTGAGTTTTCACATCTGACTAGGAATTGATCGATAATGGATATTTCAACCACAGTGGTGGAAATTCTGGATATCTTGTATTTTCCAAGTCTCAAAGTATTACCCTTTAAGACATTCCAACCATGACATGATGAACTTGGAGTATAGTTTAGAAATGTTGGAGATGATGCTGATCGTGATGCAACTCCAATTTGCCAAATTTAATAAACTTACAATATAGAAACCTAAGAATTACATTTGCAGTGTGTATTTAAGAAATAACATGTACATGTATTGGTGATTTGGGATGGCAAAATGAGAATAAATGAGAAACATCAAATATTTCTCATCTGCTTTTTTGATATACAAAACTAAATGGACTTCAGTTCATTAATTCAGATTCACTACTGTCCTTCTGATATTTTCATTCTAATAAACAGATATAGGAGAGAAACATTGCAATTGGTAATGCCATTCCTTAGCTTGACCTTTTATTTTGTCTTGAAGCAGTGCGCACACACCTCGTTTGATGGCAGTAAAAATATTTTGTATGTTTTGAGAACATGTGAATGGTGGTCGTGCCAATTACTGTTTAAACAGGTTTCCCCAAAGATGGGGGGGGCATGTTATACTCTGTGTATTTGTTATTTGTAAAATACCAAAATGCTTGGGCAGGTCCTTCATTTTAATTCAATAATTATGTTGCATACTGTACATAATCTCCTTAAGTAATGTGCATCACATTTGTGTTGATGTACTAATATGATTTAATTTAAGTGACATTTTGCTCTTCAAACAAGACAATAGCAGATTCGGATCTATCATTGAACATGCAAACAGTGTTTTGATTTCCCAAAAATTTGAAAAGTATACAATAATGATATAAATCACTGTACTTGCTGGAAATTAATATTTAATATTTTCAGTGTATGAATCAAGAAGTGATTTTTGTTTGCACTAATGAACTGAAGTGTGATTGACCAAGGTACATTGCTTAATATACAGTATTAATTTTGTTTTTGTATTGTAAACCACATTAAAGAGTAGAATGAGCCAATAGATTTTTATACAATGTTTCCACTACAAGTATGCAATTGTCATTGTAATTTGGAATACAAACTTTGTGTAATGCATTCACATACATTAATTATTTGCAATGCTTTAAATAAGTTCACCACAACTATATTCATTGCAATTCATGTTATACACTTGTGGCAATACAAGGAGTTTACTTAATGCAATTTATTTAGTGTATGCATCACAAAATAAGCGATGGATTCATCTAAGTACAGGCGATGTATTGATGACAGTGATTGTATTCATCTCACTTCATATACAAATATTCACTGCAACAATACATTCATTCATAAGTACAATTCCTTCACGAGTATTAAATACAAGCATCCTGTTAACTGTTCAGTGTATCTCAAACTCCTTAGTGCTCACATAGATGTCATATGAATTTTGTTAATAGTTGTCACATCTTAAATTATTTATAATTGTATTTACAGATGAAAATAATGATGACATTTTCTAATACCAGAATAGTTTAGTTTGTTGACTTACTGGATAAAGAGTACTTGAATTGTTTTTATCGCACCTTAAAAAGGTACGATATTGTTGGTCTGGCGGGCGGGCGGCATCTAACTTTTCGTCTTGTCTATAGGTTTCCAGCAAAACCGTATGAGGAATTCATCTGTTTCCAGGGATGTTTCTACGTTTTAAAGTTGAACTGATTTGTTGGGAATTCTCGGACTACTATCAAGAAAAGTTCTTTACTTTTGATACTTTATATGTAGACTATGTTATTTATAAGGAGAAATATATATTTGTAATTTTTTTTTAAACTCGAAGGTTCATATGACTTTTTTGCGTATAATAGGCAGGTACGTTGTATATACGTAACGTAACCCTACTAGCCTATCACACCAAACTAGTTCTCAATACGTTCTCGAAGACGGGCTTCAACTGTGTACGAACGGACTGGACGTACTTAAAACCGTTTGGGATCTATTTACAAACTTCATCGAACGTACTCGAACGGGTAGGTCCTCTAGAACTTAGAACATGCTCAAAATGTTCTCGTGGTCGTCACGTTCTACAATAAGAACGAGTGACAACGTACTAACGATGAGCTGGACGTACTACGAACGGAACCGTCGTACTTCAATCCTACTATAGAGACGTTTTTACAACGAGTTGAACTGTCTGAGGACGTATTGAGAACGAGGTAGAACTAATTGCAAACTGGTTTAAACTGACTAAGAACGTATTAAAGACTGCTTATGAACGAGTTAGCAAAAATATAGCTATCACACCAAGCAAGTTGTCACTGCATTCGTCAAAACTGGTTTTAAACTCTGTGCGAACGGAATGAACGTAGCTGCAACTTTCTAAGGTCTATTTACGAACTTCATGAACGTTCTCAGACGGGAAGGTGATTTTAGAATTTTGAATCGATTCAAAATTCGATGGCGACCATACCGTTCTGTAATCAGTTCATGATGACCTTCTGGACTAAGGGACGCGTTACACGACGTTGCACAACGACCCGGTGCGGCCTGAACGAACTGCGAATGAGATGGACGTATTGAAGACTGTTTATGAACGAAGTAGCTAATTATTTTAGACATATTTCCCGACCAGCCAGATTGAGTCCGTTTTACGACGTTTTCGTAGGACTGGCAAGAACGGGTAAGAACTAGTTTGGTGTGATAGGGGGTTACGCACCTCTTTTTAACTGGAGAGGATAAGTTACGTTTTAAGATAACCTGTACTTGAGCGTGTAAAATCAAAAAAATGTACAGAGGACTATAATTCTACACGTTCACGTAAGCTTACACGTTTTAAAAATCGTCTTAATCTCCATATTAGGCCAAAGTGAATATATCAATTTTTGGTAGATGAACAAATCAGACATAATCTGATCAGAAGGACACTGGCAAAGCATGGTCAAAAACTGTTTCATAACTCTTACTGGCAAAACAATCTGCAGTATCCAAAGAAACCGGTTACGAATACAACAAGATGATGTCATGACCAATGCATCATATGTGTGAAAACGTCATAGGAGAGCTATGTGTTTCATCATCATGCACATAATCACGTGCTTGGAAACATTAATTTAGTCGTTTCCATGATAAACACTACTATCTTCAAGAACAAAAAAGCTAAAATGAAGAGTAGGCCTAGGCCTACCTTGGAATAAAATCAGTTTAGTATTTCCAGGTTTTACCGAGGATCCTAGGTTTTACAAAATAGAACTAAACTGCCTCATGACGAATAACTGAAAGATCAATGAATAAACACATGGAGCACACGCGTCTCGAACTCGTAGAAATATTCCAGAAAGTAGCTGTGATGAGTCCATTGTCACCGATGTCATCGAAAAAGGTAAAATATCTCTTGGAATAAAATATTCCCAGGATATCTTAATCGGTCCATGTGCAGTATGGCAAGTGATTTTAGACGGTCATATATTTCACCAGGAGTACTTTCTGGCCATATATACAGTGTTTATTTTATTTTATTTAAACAACATGTTTTTTCTTGATTAGCTGTACCCCCACCTTGGCACTTTTAAAAAATGTTTGTTGTTTTTCATTTTCTTAAAAGAGGATCTTGTTTTTCTCAATTTAAACATATCGAAAGTTTCTTCTACACTATATTAACAATTTCTGAAAAGGGGATAGGCATTGAAATGCATTAAAGTTAAAAACCACATATCACATGTCATTTTCCCATAAGGAAAACTCGTGCTTTCCATTGTTTTCAACATAATTTTGGTCATCGAAAATTGATATCTTCATAACTAGACTTTCAATACAATTCTACCTTTGAAGAAATTTTAGACCCCTTGTTCATGCAATAAAAATCGGAAAAAGAAGATCCTCTTTTGAGTTAATAGGTCCCAGCATTTTGAAAAAATGTTGACATCCTCCCTATTCATATTTTTTCGAATTAATTGTTCGATTGATATTTTACTATCAGACTGAACACAAGGAAAGAAAACATAATGTTTTAATTGAAACCACTGTATTAATGCTGTTTTTCAAAAACGGCCTCGTTTTGTTTTGATACAGTCGACATTACAAAACCCTCTTAAAATGCATGAAATTCTAAATTATACCCTGGATTAAAATCCCAAGGTTTCGTATTCCCAGATTACACCCAACATTTTATAAGCTTTTCTGAACTCGAAACATGGAGATTCAATGATGCAATGCAAAACAAATATAACCGTATCCATAGAAGCATG